TTTACAAAAATGCCACACTTTTGAAATCTTTACAAAAATGCCACTTTTTCTAAATTATTTTTTCTTTATATTATTTATGTTTGGAATTATGTTCTATTAGGGTTTAGTTATGAGGGTTTAGGGGTCAAAACATTTTTTAGTGTTTAGAATTTTAAGATATAGGGTTTAAAAATCTATAATTAGTGGTATTTTTGTAATTGAACATCCCTAAATGGCATTTTTGCAAACGTGCATATAAAAAGTGGTATTTTTACAATTTTTCCTTTCAAAAATATAATATTTTCAAAATCTTTACAAAAATACCACTTTTCAAAATTATTTATTCATTATACTATTTATGTTTTTGTTAACTATGTTGTATTAGGGTTTATGGTTTGTTAAGGGTCATTATCATTTACAAAATGCCCTATTTAATGCTCTGTCAACCAATCAAGTTTTAGTGAGAAAATGCATAATGCCATTTTAGATCTCTGCCAATCAAACCCACATAAAAGCATACCAACGAAGAAAAATTATCACTCATCAACAAAAGACGAGTGACTTTTTTGAAAATAGACAACTCATGTGGTATTTTTGATAATTGACATATAAAAAGTGATATTTTTTTAATTCGTTCAAACTTATTAAAATATATAGAAGTAAGAAAATAGCACATTTTGGCTGTCATTTGATTATTACCATTTCATTTTGGCATAATTTTTTTAATCACCTTTGTATACAAAGATTTCCGTCAGAGAAAATAGCACATTTGATAGCCTACCGCCTAAATAGACTTGAGAGGAATGAAAGAAATAATAATGAACTAGAGGAAACAAAATGTTCAGTTTACTCCTCTCCTATTTAGTGGATGATTTTTTCCCTTTATATTTCTCTTCTTGGTTTTTGTAACTAACGTGGAATGAGCTTGAATATTTGATTTTACATTTTCAATCTAATGGTAAAAATTGAGTGGAATAATTTATTTTTCTCCTAAAATTTTGCCTCTAAAAATGCATCCATTTTGCGCCATTAAGAATTAAGATTCAATGCGAAGGGAATCAAATCAATACCTCTCCTCCTTTAAAGTAAAGCCCATCGTTGACGTAATACACTCCAAAGCCCACTTCCATCTCTCCATAATGTGAGTCCCACCCACATTGCGATGAATCTGGTCACGTGCTTCATCAAGAAGCCCTTTTAACTCAGCTGGGTCAACCTTGAAGAATATGGGAATGGCCACGAGCTTCACTTCATTGACACGTTCTACGATCTTCACCAGCTCGTTCAAACACCATTTTGATTCCATGTACTTTCTCGAGAACACGACTAATGCGATCTTTGATTCTTCGATCCTACGGTAAAGAACGGTTAAATTTTCTCCCCTCATCTCGTCATCGTCTATGTACGCATTGATCCCAGCATTTTTCAACGCACTGTCCAGAAAACTGACGAAGCCGGAGCGCACGTCAGCTCCCCGGAAGTTGATGAACACTTTATGTTGCGGAAGCGGTGGTTCTGGAACAGTCAGAGAGAAGCCTACCGCCATTTTAGGGGTTTTGGTTGGATATTGTTTGGAGATCGACACAGAGACAATGTGTAAGAAAATGAACATTGTCATAGTTTCTTGTAAGTATTATAGGACAACGTGACAAGTCAACTAAACGTGTGCCCTCCTCCTTTCGCTGTCAAGGTTCCAAGGTAAAATAAGTTCATTCCACGATCTACCTCAGTTCTTGAAAGATTCTTCAGACTCATGTTGGCATTTACTTTGGAAGAGACTCCGGATTTTGTGGATTTTTTTATATTTTGTTTTTCCGGAACATTAATCCATTATTGTCTTTTCTTTTACTTTTTAGTAGCGTCCAGTGTAACGAACGGTCGACTAATACTAATCAGCAGTTTCATGAAACCCACCACAAGACCGATATCTAAAAAGCTAAATAGTCCACACGAACGAGTTTGTTTGCATCGCAAATCGTTGGAACATGATCGAGTACCTT